GGGGTTACTTCTGATACTTCAATTGGATACCGTATTCAAGGTCTATGTAAAAGTTAGTCATTCGGAAGGCCAAGATCCTGTTGTAGAAATATCACACCCTCCAAGGATGTCTGCCTTGCATTTTTTTTTAAATGATATAACTGGTATCCACAGAAGCTTTACTTTGCTCATGCTTTTGGTGGTTGGTGCGTAGGTGCGAGGAGCAAAGAGAGGCTTGCGTACAGTGAAAAGGGTATTTGTGGCTGTCAATTCTATGTTGATAATGTAGGTTGAATTACAATGAGAAGTTTGTATCTTTAAGCTCCATTGGAATGTACACAACAAGCTCATTTGCTCTGCTGTTGTGTTAGAGGAAGGGAGCAAAATGGAGGAGTTTCTATGATAGATTAGGTGGCGATTAACACTAGCTTTTAATTGCATATGTGGGACAAAGTGTATGGCACAGAAAAAACGTAAGAGATAACGATAAGGTCATGCTCATGGTTTTCTGAGAAATCTATTTCAGGATAAGTCAATATTATTTAAGTAAAAACATCGAACAAATCAAGGCAATCTCAACAATGTGTGCAAGTGGTTTTCTCAGCTCGGCAGATGCTAAAGATTGGCTAAAGTCTTGCTATTATATTCTACTTCATCAGTGAAAGGATGACACCTATTGGACCTATTTGATGAAATTGAAAAATATGGTTAAGTAGTGTATTCAAGTCCTAGAGGAAGCAATGCGTAAACCAAACATGTTTTCATCATAGCATATCCTACATAAGATTTACTTTTATCTAGAAAGGAGCACTTACTGATGTTAACCTTGAACGCTTCAATTATAGGTTCATGACAATAACAATAATGTGAAGTTAGGCTTTCATCAAGAGGAAAAAGAAATAAGGAGTATGCCAGAGGTAATCAATTTCTGTGGAAGCACATTTTAACACTATTTAAGATGAGAGATGCAGGGATACTTTACGGACACTGATGCATAATGATTTTAGAACTCTGGAGAAGTTAATATCACTAAATAATGTTGAGTATCTTGCAAATGCTTTTAAACTTCAGATTTACTAGAAGGAATATTTTTGTTCTAGAATTCTTTCATCACCCTCATTACCTACCACACACCACCGCTCATTTAAATTTGTACTGTATTATTCTCAGATATCAGGTGTTTTCATCCTCTGATGTTTGACCACATTTCATGAGCCCGATTAACAGAATCTGAAGTAGAGACATCATGACTTGTCAATATGTTCTATATAAGAAACAGTAGCTGATCAAAATTACAAACATTAATAATCCAATAGGTAATCCGCCATTTGTTATTACTTCATATCACAACCTAAGTCAGCAGTTCACCAAATGAAATTTTGCACAGGCATTACTCCTGTTACTACAAAGGAGAAGAAAGAATAGAAAGAAATGATAGAGCATGTCTGCTTCTCATACCAAACTTTTGTGGCAAATCTCATTTTTGGAGGCTCGAATGGGTAGCCATCTGCAAAGACAAAGCTTCTTGATTTAGGAGTCATACACAAAAACTGCTAATTCTGATAAACAGTAGACCATGCCAATGATATATATATATCCTAGACTATCCTCCTTATCAACATGACATTGAGCTCCCTGGGAGTTACCATATAAAATGGAGTAACAATTAATAATGGTTCGACTCATCTGCATTCAAGTCGATCTATTAACTATGACACTGAAACCCTTTCCGCACTGTCCCCAAACATAAGGGCCTGACAACAAATTAAACAAAGTGACAAAAGTTCACGCATAATTCCTTCATTTGCCACAACAGCTGAAAAAGATTCCACTTTTACATACAAGAAAGCCTCAATAATGCGCGCACACACATGTTGTGAGTAAATGCTGGTAATTTTTGCAAGGGTTTGAGAAATCTATCGAACATGTCCATTTCTCATTGGTTACATTTCCCACATCAAGCATGTCAACCTCACGCGTTCAAATGGTTGGCTGGCTGTTCAATAGGCACATTTTCAACAAAAATCAAGTATTCAATAAGTCACACTTTTAGTTAAAATGTCTAAATGAAATGTTTTGGAAAGTCTAATATGTATTCTGCTTTCAAATACATATAGTAATTAATAATGGCCCGACTCAAGTGGAACCTTTCCGTACTTCCCCCAAACATAAGGGCCTGAGCCTGACAACAAATTAAACTAAAGTCCATCCGTAATTCCTTCATGTGCCACATTAGCTGAAAAAGATTCAATTTTTACATTCAAGAAAACCTCAATAACACACCATTTCTTTGATACACGTGTTCTATAAATTCAAAACCCTAGAAGCCCCAAAAAAAACAAAAACCATTTAATAGTTGTATGCAGAAGATGAATGTAAAAGTGAGAGTAGAAGGAAATTGGGAGAGTTACCAGTAAGAGTGATATCGATCTTGAAAGAACCACCTTCATAAGGAGTACCAAGAGGACCAGGGATTGTACCAATCAAGTGAGTGAGACTGTCACCTTTAAGGGTTACACTTATTCCTGAAACCCCAACATCTCTGTTGCACTCTTGCAGCTCCTTTTGTACCCTTGCCAAGTCCACCATTTTTGCTCTCTTCCTATTTCCAATTCAAACGTCTCCCCACTGCTTTTTCTTTCTTTTTTGGTTGAAGAGAAAGTGACGAGGGTATTGCGTAAAGTGAATGAGCTGCAGCACACATGATATAATAAAGGAGAATTGGGGCCCCCATATGACTAAAGAGCCCTTTTGCACATAAGAATTTTTTACTTTTTCCTGAAATTTTTTAGTTTTTTTTTTTAAATCAGTATTTGACCATAAAATTTATAATTTTCACTTGAAGATCAATTTTAAAATTTTTTAAAAATTTAAAAAAGTTATTTTCAAATTTTCACTCAGATCACTCAAAGTTTCAAACACAATCCAAAATTATATTCATGTCCAAACACAAATCTAATTTTTAAGTATTATTTTCATTTGATTTTTTTTTTTTTTTTTACATTTTTCTAAATTTTACAATTCTTTTGTCCAAACGCCCACTAAGGGGTTTAGATCGATTTTTAATTTAAAAAATTCAAATAAATTATATTGGCTCTTTAAATATTTGTATCAGATTAATCTAATTAAGCCGATTTCTTATTATTTCGATTTTTATCATTTTTTTCAATTTTTATCATCTTTTTTTAAAATGTAAAGTAACCTGCCAGACATACTCACTCAACTGAACAAAAAATCAGCCCTAGCATGTCAACTGAAACAAAAATTTATTTTAGTTCACAAAACCGTAGCTCCAAAGAAACCAATAAGATTAGCAATGTGATTTGTTGCCCTCTTCAAGGTCATCAGATCTCACTTTGATAAGATCTGTTCATTCTCAAGAACTGTATTGTCCCAGGCTATTCATGTATACACTCTCCATCATTTTCAACTACTAATTCTAGGCTACTATCACGATCTAAATTCCATTATAGGTCGTGATGGCGACCAATTCCGTTGTTAGACAAGCTAACCCTAATCAACTAGTGAGTGCTCATTTATTTTACCGAAACAAATCTCAACTTTTTTAAATCTTAAACCTTTAAACTGTCGATAGTTAACAAGTTATAAAAATAGGAACACATTCCTGAAATAATAGTCTACAATGTGTGTGTCAGAAATTAGTGTCACAAGTCCGATGGCAACTAGTAGAATGTACAAAAGAATACAACTATCCTACTGCCTGAAACAGAATAGACAGTAATAACAAAAGAAGAGACTCTGGCATGCTGCTGAACGACTCAGAAGGGGCAGCTCACCGTGGAATCTCGGTCAAGTATCAGGAACACGCACCGGACTGGTAGCTAGATGCAACTACTTCAGATCATGTACATTTAAGTACAGAAGCGTATCATGCGTACATAAACAATATGAGCCCAGTAAGTATCCAGTCTAACCTTGAAGAAGTAGTGACGAGGGGTCGACTTGACACTTACTGGGGCCAAATAGTGATATAATTTAAGTGTTACACTAAGCATGGATGTCATGAATAAATAACAGTTGGTAAAAAGAAGTGACAAGCTCTTTCATAGGTAACATTTCAGTTAACAATCTTTATTCCAAGGCATTTTAAATAGTTCAAATCACAGAAAGTACCAAGCAAGTAGCATGCGCAAATAATGCCGAGGTCGTACGACCCGATCCAACATAAAAATAAAGTGTGCACTGCCGGAGGGTCGAACGGCGCGAACCATAGATGCATCTATTACCCCGCTCGCGAATCATACATGCGACGCGGTCACACACAAATAAACATATCAAGCAGTCAATCAATAATTTATCAGAAAAATGATGTTTAACATTTTAGAAATTCATTTGCCAAGTTTGATATGATTTACGCAATTTAAATTAACAATAAAGTTACAAATACGGCAAGTAAGGCATGCTTTTGGGACCTAAACTACCCGGACTTAAGCATAATAGTAGCTACGCACAGACTCTTGTCACTTCGTGCATACGTAGCCACCGCATTTAGTGGCAAATATTCAATTATTTCTCCTATGGGGACAATTCCCTTTTACGAGGTTAGAAAGGAGACTTACCTCTTCCCAAAGTTCACTTCAAATTTCAAGAAGGTGCTCAAACTCTCAAATCGGAGCCGAACGATCCAAAAACTATTCAATATGGGTAAGAACTAGTCAATACATGTTCAAGAGTTCATATTCTAACTATTAAACTAATTCTCCAACCCTAAATGCAAGGTTCCTAAAATTCATCCCCGGGCTCACGTGCCCAGATTCCGGAGATTTTTGAAGAAAATTGTTACTCATAACCTAAGGATCAAGAATATATGATCTTTACTTCATTCCATAACAAATTTTGTGGTTAAATCTTGTTTTTATCAAAACCCTAGGTTTTACTCTAATTCCATAATTTTCACTAATATTTATGTGTTAATCTACCCAAAAACCAAGTATTAAACTCACATTAAGTAGAAATAACTTACCTCAAAGTGCTCGGTGAAAGCCCCCTTCCAAAAGCTCTGAAAATCTCCTAAGTGTAGAAGTGAAATGAAATAAATAGTATAAGTCCCGTTTTTAAAAGCTGTGCACATGATGTCGCATTTGCGACAAAAGCATCGCAAATGTGAACCTGGGGTCCCTCTGCAAGGGTCGCAAATGCGACAGTTGGGTCGCAAATGCGGTCCCTACTGTGTTTGCATATGCGAACGAAATGTCACAAATACGACGACTGCCCAGCTCAGGCTTCTTCGCAATTGCGAAGCCTTCCTCGCAAATGTGAACAAATCCTCGCATTTGCGAGACCTGCAACAGCTGCCCAGAAATACCAGAAAACTGGAGTGTTTTCACTCCCAACACACGTCCGTAACTCATCCGAGCCCTCGAGGCTCCACACTGAATACTCACACAAGTCTAACAACATCATACAAACTTGCTCGCGCTATCGGAACACCGAAATAACATTAAAACTAAGAATCGCCACCCAAAACCAACGAATCAAACTTAAGAACTTCAAGTTCTTCAATTTGCTTTCAACGAGCCGAAATATACTTATACTACTTAGATTGACACCAAATTTTGCGTGCAAGCCTTAAATGATATTACAGAACTATTCCCGATCTCGGAATTCCGTTTGGACCTCGATATCACCAAAACGCGTTCCAAACTAAATTTATAGAACTTCTAAAACCTTCAAGAGCCAACTTTTACTATTATGCGCTAAAACGCTCTTGGGTCATCCAAAACCCGATCCTGACATACACCCAAGTCTGAAATCATCATACGAACGTATTGGAACTGTCAAATCTCGATTCCAAGGTCATTTACTCAAAATGTTGACCGAAGTCATACTTGGCCTTTTAAGCCAACCTTAATGAACCAATTATTCCGATTTCAACCCAAACTCTTCCAAATCCCGAACCAACTATCTTCGCAAGTCATAAATCAGTTACGGGAAGTCTTATTTAAGGGAACATGGTTCTAGAAAGCAAAACGACCAGTCGGATCGTTACAGGTACATCACTTTGCGCGTGTTTCTTATATTAATAATTAGATAATTTTTAAAAATTACANATATATATATGTTGATTCCAAATCCAACCCAGTGAAAATCTTTAAAGTTTTATAAGGATATCCTATGAAAATTACTGTTATTTTTATGTCTTAATATCGAACAAATAAGTAAAACAATTACTTTTATCACGACAGGTTGTCCCGTGGATCCTATGAAAAATTATAAGTGAAAATATAAGCTTTAAAAGTGACTAATGTTGAGTCAATAATTTACAATAATAAACTAATACATAAAAAATATATTTAGAATCTATTAAAAGTGAGTAATTTCATTACATTCTTATAGCCTGTTTGGCCAAGCTGGAAAAATCAGCTTATTTTGAGAAGTGCTTTTTTTAAAAGTGCTTTTGAAAAAAGTACTTTTGTAGAGAAACAGTTTGTGTTTGGCTAATCAGTCTGAAAAGTACTTTTGAGAAATAATTTGTGTTTGGCCAAGCTTTTTAGAAAGTGCTTTTAAGTGTCAAATTACGAATAAGGACATGAATATATTTACTTAATAATTAATATTATAAGTAAATAAATAATCTCAAAATTTTGTTATTACATGCAATAATTAATAAAAAATTTATTTTATTCAAGTAAAATATGAAAATAAAATTAAAAAGTACTTAATTCTTTTAATATAAGTTAAATATATTAAAATTCCTTCAACAAATATAAAAGCATTCATCCCTAAAGTCACTATATATTAAAAAGTTTTCCTAAAAATAAGAAGAAATATTTATAAATTAATATCCTAAGTATTAGGTTTAAGGGTTATTTTGGTATATATTATATTTTGTTAAGGGTATTTTAGGTAAGAAGAAAAGCCAAAACTGTTTCTGCTTCTGCTTTTGGAAAGAAGCTACTTCTTCCCAAAAACACTTTTTTTCCCCAAATAAGCTTGGCCAAACACCTCAAGTTAAGAAAAAAAGTGCTTTTGGAAAAAAAAAACACTTTTGGCCTCTTGAGAAGCTTGGCCAAACAGGCTATTAGGCTCTTATTTCCATAAAAAAAAAAATATTCAAATGTATAGTTATGTGTTTGGATAAAGAAAGAAAGCTCCATTTAAAATGAAGAAAGAATAGATTAAACAAAGTATAGCAGATGAATCTATTTCCTTTGCAATAGAAATATTCACTTCTAATCCGTTGAAACTAACTTCTATTGTACTTCTTATTAAATTAGGAAATAGAACAATTGTATTTTGATTGTAAGAAAAAAATACTGTCTTTTATCAGTTTTGAACGAGATGATTAAGGACTTATAAGGAGGAATTTCTAATTTTGTTGAGTTTGGTAAATTGGATCAATGGTCATCGTTTTTCGAAAATTATATTTTTGTTAACATTCATTTTATAACTCAAATAAAAAATTTAATATATATATATATGTGTGTGTTGATCTCAAATCCTATCCGGTGAAAGTGCTTAGAGTTTTGTAAGAATATCTTATGAAAATTATTATTATTTTTATGCCTTAATATCGAACAAACTAGTAAAATAATTACTTTTATCACGATAGGTTATCCTGTAGCTCCTATGGAAAAAATTAATAAGTGAAAATATACTCTTTAAAAATGACTAATATTGAGTCACTAATTTACAACAATAAACTAATATATAAAAAAAAATAG